GCAGCCCTCGGAGGGTGGCCTTACTTTGCAAGGGCACGTGTATTTGGACTGTGGGTGCAGGAGCCTTATCGTTTCCTCCAGCCTCGTCCGCCAGGGCGAGCGGGGCTGGTGGGTGGGTGTTTTCCACCACAGCCGTGGCACCGGCACCAAGGCCTGGAACGCCACCGCCGTCTGCATTTTTGGGATGGAGGAGGTGAAGGAGCAAGCCTGTGCGTCCACGCATTTCGTCATGAACGGGAAGAGTTGGACTGTGGGTGCAGGAGCCTTATCGTTTCCTCCAGCCTCGTCCGCCAGGGCGAGCGGGGCTGGTGGGTGGGTGTTTTCCACCACAGCCGTGGCACCGGCACCAAGGCCTGGAACGCCACCGCCGTCTGCATTTTTGGGATGGAGGAGGTGAAGGAGCAAGCCTGTGCGTCCACGCATTTCGTCATGAACGGGAAGAGCTGTGTAAGTCTGGGCATCGTTTCGCTAAGCTTTCGTCCTGCGCGCCGTTGTTGATACTGTTGTTGTTGTGGTTGGTGTCGCTGTGCATGACCCAGGGGGGTCCCTGCCCTGAAGGCGGAGAACTTCAGAGCCGCACCAGGCTTTGCGCATCACCCCTGGCTCCGTCAGCCCTAATGGTTTCTCCATCACTTTCTGTTTCTAAAACACCGATCCCTTACCAGATCCTAGAGTGTCCTTCCCACCTACATCTCGGGAAAGACATGTCTGAGGGAACACCTGAGGGCATTTTGGGTCAGGCCTGAGTCTCGGGCTCCTCACTCCATGCGCCCTTTTCTGCCAAGGATTAGTCATACTTCATTGTATTTTCCGTACAGCCTAGGTAAAGCATCTCCTACCTTATTCTGTGCATTCACATCTCATGTCATTGCAGCTACATCAGAAATGAAAAAAAGCCCATCAAATTGACTCCTGTGCACTGGGCTGTGTGCGTTGTTCTCCCCATTGCTTAGTTGTTATTTATGGTTGCTTGTTGGGTAGTAGGTGTTTCCCAAACCTCCCAGGATTGGCCTTGCTCAAGAGGGCTCAGAGCCACCCCTCCAAACCCAAATGCACAGCAGACAGCAGTAAGTAATACATCTTTGTTGTTGCAGTGGTTATGTTTTCACAGACAGTGGTATCCCATGGAGGTCCCCTGGTCACCTACTTCTGCAACACTCTCTCTTCAGCTCCTTCCTCCTTTTGAGGGTGAGCTGGGCACATGGAGGGCAGGATGGACAAGGCTACCAGCGTGGCTGTGACCTTGGTAGCTAGTAAAGAAATGAACTAAAAATTAAATTCAAGAAGCTAAAAATGTAATTCAGGTGGAGAAGGTGCTTTTGCAAGGCCTGTCCATGCTTTTAAGTCACGCTCAGAAGTCTTTTCAGAGCTCTGATAAAAGGAACAACACTGAAAAGTATCAGGGGGAACCGTAGGGGATCAAGCAAGCCATCATAAAGCAAGTCCTGGCCTTTTGCACTTCCCCCACCATCCAGGGACTTTGCAGCTTAACCCCTGAATCCTTGCTGTGTTATGATGAGGGTTTGTTGGAAACTCCTTGGAAGAAGTGCAGTAGGTGTACTGTTGCTCCTTGGCTTCCCAAATCTAGCCCGTAGCAGCCCACAGTGCCGAGATTCTTCCAAATACAAACTTTCAGAGGGCACGTGTGATTCGGTCTGTTCGTCTCCCTACTGATCTGCGAGGCTATTGCCAGTGTTAGAGGACATAGTCATGAATGAGAACCCCATACGTGGGTGAAACAACTGCGCTGAAGTAAATAGTGAAACTCTCGCAACAGAGCCGGAGCCAATCCCTTGATTTCCAGTGCCAGTTTATAGCTTACTGCATGATTTCTGTGCTCTCACAGGGCAAACTTGCTGAATGAATTCGAAATCTCATCCTCATCCCAAAATGCTTATTTGCTAGGTGGATTTTTAATTTGCATTCTTTGTTTCTAATTACTTGTGGAGTTTCTTCACGAGGTGATTTCTGAGCCTGCAAAACAAAAAAAAGAAACCTCCCTGGACAGCAGATCCTTTATAAACAAACGCTTTCCAAAGCCCCATGCTAGAAATTCCAGAAGAGTCTCATGAATTTCGTAGAGTAACATAATGAAGGTAAGGTGAGGCAGGTGTTTCTGTCTGACCGATGTTCCTCTCAATCCCCCGTCCCCATTGCCTCCCAGTGCCTGAATAGGAAAAATCAACGACCCACTTGTTTAAGGGTTGGTCTGATTCAGATCAGACTCCTGTAACTCCCAAGTTACTTTGATGTCCCAGCTGTCCTGGAAATGTAGATTGTATTTGGATACAATGCTGAAGAATCCCAACTTTAAAAATGATTAAAAGGATTGTTTGCTTAACATTATGTCCCTAACTATGGTGATGTTATTAATCGTGATATTTTGGCACAATCAATGCAGTTTACCACTGACAGAAAAGTGGTATTTTAATATTTTGTGAGATAGCAGGACATCTGGGTGTTATGTAGTAGTATGACCTATAACATTACATGGCTAATTAGGCTCCCTTTTTAAGCTAATTATATGTGCTTATGGTGTATAAACATAGAAATAAATGCATGTAGTTCAGCTTTAATATGTTTTTTATACTACAGAAGGTTAGGCTAGGCTATTGCAGAGTAAGTCTGGAGATGACAGGCCCATATGCTGCTGCTTCTGAGTTGTTTTAGACCAGATCCTTCTACTGTCTCTCACCAAATCATGGGAGTCCCTGCGAATGTGGAAGATGCTCTTCTTGGACTCAGAAGCACACAGGCTTCAGAACTGGCAGGAAGATGGTACGCAGCGTGTCCGTCAGCGCACGGCTTGTAGGAGAAGTGTGTGCAACAGCTAGCAATGGCTCTGGTCGGGAAGGAGTGCCTCGTAGCACGGAGCTGTCACGAGTACGTTGTAGTGTGATGTGCAGGAATGGCAGCAAGCAACAGTACTTAACGCGTGCTTTAAAATCCAGTCTTTTAAAGACGGTGGTGGTACTGAGCAAATGAATGCGTTGCAGCATTATGATTGTCTGGAGTGCAAGACCTGTCCGGTGTTTGGGGTGGGTGGACCACACTGAGTGTCAGCCTGACTTTCGCAGTACAGATGCCATGTGTTGTAGGGTGCTGCGGGTCTTAGTCTTCTTTGCTGGGTACACTTGAATTCTGGAGCTCAGGGGTGATGTGATGAGGTACACGGATCACGGACGCATACTGTCAGTTTATGTAGGAATTGAAAATACGATTTTTTTTCACTGCAGGAATACAGTTTGTAGTTAGAGTATACGTTAGGGGGTAGCGGCAGTTTGTTTTCCTTCTGATCTTGTCATTCTTCACATTTCTGTAATTATTCTGGTTACCTTGAGGCAAGACATCCTCTTACCTGTCTGCACTCACACAGCTGCTTGTATTTGCACTGTGTTGACACTGTGCTTCTCAACAGTACACTGCAAGAGGGACTCGGCCCCAGCTATTTGTGGTCCTGAGTTCCCTGCTATGCTACTGCTGCATGTTCTACTCTGAACTCATTCCTGTAAGGTACTGAGCTTTCTGGCCCTAACCCAGTAAAGCACTTAAGGGCATATTTAACATTAATCGTATAAGTAGTTCCATCATCTTCATGCCCATGCCTTTAAAGTATAAGCATGAACTTGAGTACTTCACTGGATTGGAACCAAATTGCTTCGCATCCTGTAGGAACTCATTGTAGGTGTGTAATCTCTTTAGCCTCGCATTGCTACTTGGGCTAAAGTTGATATTTGCATTAAGTTTTAATGCTGGATTTGAGTCTATCATTGAAAATTGGTCGTTTTTAAGATCCTTGCTTACCGACTTTATCAAAAACTATGTGACTGCTACAAATTCTGTGGGATTGCTCCTTAGGAGAACTAGCTAATTCTGTTTTCGTTTTGTGCAGTAGTGTGCACAAAGCATTTTGTCCTTGTTGGATGTGTTTATTCTGGACATATGTAATACTGGATTCTCAGAGACATGATCCCTAACTAGCAAGAGGCAAGTGGTGTCTTAGATGAAACTACTCTGAGAACATTTTGCGGTTTTATATTCAGCTTGTTTTCCTCTGTTCCACACGTCTCTTAGTTTTGAGTATATCTACTTACATGCACTGTTGAGATGCATGCATTAATGGACTCTCTCGCATAATCTGCGTGTACGTAAGTACATCTTCTTCACAATTTCCTTAGTTAATAAATGTGAATTTGCCAAATCTTATTCTCCGTTTCTTTTCAGAAACCTGACTGAGCACCAACAAACATTTTTGGTGGATGAATTTATGAAATCAAAGCTCCTTAGCCAGTACGTAGGAGGAATGCTGGAATTTGTCACAAACTTGCTCCAGTAGCTGGTCAACTTTAAGAAAGGCTTTTCTTCTGTTGTTCGGTGGCTGAATGAAAGCTACTAGAATCTCAGGTCTCTCCCAGAGATCTGAGGATCTTGTGGGTCACAGCCAAGCAGATGAGCAGAAGTGCTCAAATTAGAGAACATCCACAGGAGAGAGTTGTAGGATGTTGCCCAACCACAATGACACATCTGGAAATTATTTTTGCCGTTAAAAGAAGTTGCATGGGAAGAAAAGTATTCTACAATTTTTCAGGGAGAAGATCCAAAAAAGTGTTGGGCATATACCTGTAAGACAGAGGGAAGTTGCTGTGGTTTTTATTAAGGTATTTATTTTATGATGTGCAAAGGCTAAGTATCTGTGGTAGTTACTAAATGACAAGCTATCTTGGTTGGATTTTCATCTGCTATTTAATGCAAGTAAAGATATGTAACAGTCTGTTCTTTGCATTTTGGCATTTTTCAGTGGATGATAAATATGTGGGTTGGTATATGCCCCTTAATTTATCAAGCATAGTTTGGAATCCTAGGACAAATCTTAGCTGGTATAAGCTCTACTGAAATGAGATTTTGAAGTCAACAGAGTCACATCAGTTTAATCACAGCCATTAATTTGCAGGAATGACATTTGAATTTGTGTGGTAACTCATTCCAAAATGATTCATGGTCTTTTATTTAAGGAAAGAATTACAGACTTCTAAATATCATTTGGTATCAAAATTGATCTTGTAAATAATTTTCTAATAGTGAAGTCATCTACTGCGTATTACTAGACTACTAGTTTTTCATCTGATGTTTGATAGATTTCTAGAGTTAACATTTCTGAAGTGAATATTTGTGTCTGGTTACAATAACTTTTCAGTTCATCCCTGTTTGGTGTGGAAAGTAAGCCATAGGAGACTTGGAAACTCTGACCCTGTCAGTAAGAAGAGTTGCTTTTAGTCATCTGGCTTCACCAGGAGTTCTTAGCAGAAACTTTTGAGAGCCTGGGGGCTCTTGAACAGAGGATTTACTTCCTTGGGATCACAGAGTCGTTTGGGTTGGAAGAAACCTCGAAGGAGGTCTCCAGTCCAGCCCCCTGCTCACAGCAGGGTCAGCTCTGAGGTCAGGCAAGG